CCAGACTCTGAAAGAGACAAATATTGTATGATCTCTCTTATATGTAGAAAGGATGATTTTACATATATATATATATATTAACAGAGAGTAGAATATTGCCCAGCAGTGGCTAAGTTGTAGAGGGGAAAGGAAGATGAAAAAAAATAGAATGGTAGTTTGCCTGTAGGTAGCTGGAGCCAGGAACAGTTATTATTGAATGATACAGAGTTTCAGTTTTGCAAGATGCAAGTATTCTGCAGATAAATGGTGGTGATGATTGCACAACCAAACGAAATTTAGTATCATTTACCTGTAACTGCAAGATGGTTCAGATAGTAAGTTCTGTATTATGAGTATTTTACCATAATAACAAAATGTAACTATGTGAAGTGATAGATGTTAATTAATTTGATTGTGGTAATCATATCAAATGCATACATACATATATTAAATCATCATAAATACATACATTTTGTCACTGTACCTCAATAAAGCTGGAAAAAACTAAAAAGTGCATTCTAAAGAAGATGTTCCTTTGAAGACATCAATAAAACTGATAAGCCTCTAGCCAGGCTAATTGAGAAAAAAGGAAAGAGGACACAAATAATTAATATTAGAAATGAAAGGGAAGAAATCACTACAGATCCTATGAACAACTCTACTCACACAAATTTGATAAATGAAATGGACCAATCTCTAGAAAGGTACTATTTGCCAAAAATCACACAAAAATAAATAGACAATCCGAGCTGGCCTATATCCATTAAAGAAATTGAAAAAATAATCTTCCAAAAGAGAAAGCACCATGTCTGGTTTGGCTCATTGGTGAAGTCTATGAAATTTTTAAGAAAGGAATTATATCATTTTTCTAAAAGCAGAATACTTCCCAACTCACTCTACAAGGCCAGCATTATTCTAATACAAAATGCAATGACATTATCAGAAAAATAAAATTACAGAGCAATATCTCTTGTAAACGTGATGCAAAATCTTCAAAAATATAAGCAAATTGAATCCAACATATATTAAAACATTTACACCAAGATCAAGTAGCATATATCCCAGATATTCAAGTTGGTTCAACATTCAAAAATAATTAATGTAAACCATTACATTAACAGGCTAAAGAAAAACATGCGCATGTTCATATCAATAAACACAAATATAAAACATTTTACAGAGTCTAGCACTCAGAATGATAATTCTCAATAAACTAGGAATAAAGAGGAATTTCCTCAACTTGATAATTAATATCTATAAAAACAGACATCTAACATCATGCTTAATTGTAAGACATTCAAAGCTTACCCACTGGTATCAGGTTGTCCTCCGTCACTACTCCTTGTTAACACTGTACTGGGAAGTACTAGCTAATGTACTAAGACAAGAAAAGGAAATAAAAGGTATATTATTTGGAATGAATACAAAAAGCTGTCTTTGTCTGCAGATGACTTAATAGTATATGCAGAAAATCTGAGAAAACTGACAAAAAAATACACCTGAAACTAATAAGTGATTATAGCAAGGTTGCAGGGTACAAGGTTAATATGCAAAAGTCAATTGCTTTCCTATATATACCAGCAATGAACATGTGGATTTTAAATTAAAAACAATACCATTTACAATGCAGCAAAATAAATAAAATACTTAGGTATAAATCTAACAAACTATGTCCAAAGTCTATATGAGGTAAACTATGAAACTCAAATAAAATCCAAGAACTAATTAAATGGAGAAATATTCCATGCTTGTGGATAGAAAGACTCAATATTGTCAGGATGTCAGTTCTTCCTAACTTGATGTATAGTCTCAATGAAATCCCAATCAAAATCCCAGGCAGTTATTTTATGAATATCAACAAACTGATTCTACAGTTTGTAAAGGAGAAGCATGATACCCAGTATAGCCAACACAATTTTGAAGAAAAACAAAGTTGAAAGACTGATGCAACCTGGCTTCAAAACTTAAAATAAAGCTACAATAATCAAGACAGTGTGATACTAGCAAAAGAATAGACAAATAAATCAAGGGAACAGAATAGAGCCAACAAATAGACCCACATAAATATAAGGAAGTGATCTTTTCAAAGAAGCAAGTGCAATACAATGAATTAAGAAAGTTTCTTCAAAAAAATGGTGCCAGGAAAACTGGATATCCAGAAGCAAAAAGATTGTAGACACAATACTTACACTCTTCATAAAATTTAAGTCAGCAAAGATCACAAACCTAAATGTAAAATGCAAAACTGTTAAATTCTGAGGAGATCATATAGGAGAAATGCTAGATGGCCTTGGGTTTGACAATGACTTTTTAGAGACAACACTAAAAGCATGATTCATGACAGAGATAATTGATAGGCTGGGCTTCATTAGTATTTAAAACATCTGCTTTCCAAAACACAATTTCAAGAAAATGAGAAGAGAAACAACAGATTGGGGAGGAAATATCCATAAAAAGACTGTTTTTTGAAAATATACAAAGGATTCTATTTTAAGATTTTATTAATTTATTTTTAGAGAGAGGGGAAGAGAGGGAGAAAGAGAGGGAGAGAAACATCAATGTGTGGCTGCTTCTCATGCACCTCCCACTGGGGACCCAGCCTGCAACCCAGGCATGTGTCCCCACTGGGAATCAAACCAGCAGCCCTTTGGTTCACAGGCCAGTGCTCAATCCACTCAGCCACACCAGCCAGGGCTACAAAGGATTCCTAAAATACAATAATAATAAAAACACTGACCTGATTTTAAAATTGAGGAAAGACCTTTACAGACACATCATCAAGATGATATACACAGCAAAGAAGCATCTGGGAAAATGCTCCACATCGTGTCATCAGGGACATACAAATTCAAACAACAATGACATACCACTACAAAACTATTAGAATGACCAAAATCCAGAATACTGACAATAGCTAATGTTGTCTAGAATATGGAGCAAAAATACCTCCCATTCATTACTGTTTAAAATGCAAAATGGTACAACCACTTTGGAATACAGTTGGTGATTTCTTGCAATGGTAAACCAACTCTTACCCCATAGTCCAGCAATTGTGCTCCTTGGTATTTAAACAAAAAATTTGAAAACATGTCCACACAAAAATCTGCACATGAATGTCTACATCAGTTTTATTCATAATTGCCAAACTTGGAAGCAAACAACTTGTTTTTCAATAGGGGAATGGATTTATAATTGCGGTACATCCATGCAATGGAATGTTATTCAGCATTAAAAATAAATGAGATAGCCAAGTCATGGAAAGACCAGGAGGAAACTTAATGCACATTACTAAGGGAAAGAAGCTAATCTGAATAGGCTATGTACTGTATGACTCCAACTACATGGTATTCAGGAAAAGGCAAAACTATGGAGACAGTAAAAAAATCTGTGGTTTGGTTGACAGCAGTTGGGGGTGAACAGGGGAGGAATCAATAGATGAATCAGATTATTTTAGTGAAGTGAATATATTCTGTATAATACTATAATCATGTTCATATGTCATTATACATTTGCTCACACCCTTAGAATGTAAAACACCAACAGTTAATGTAAACTGTGGAATTTGGGTGACTATAATTGGTCAATATAGGTTTATCAACTGTAACAGAAGGACCACTTTGGGGGGTGATGTTGATGGTGAGGAAGTCTATGCATATATATGGGAACTCTGTATTTTACACTCAATTTTTCTGTGAATCTAAAATGTTTCTAAAAAATCTTTAAATAAAAAAATTCAAAAAGGAAGAAAAATTTATCACATGCTACCTTGAGGACATTATACTAAATGAAGTAGTACAATTACAAAAAGACAAATACCATATAATTCTACTTATATGAGGTATCTAGAGTAGTCAAACTGAGAAACAGAAGGTGGAATGCTGTCTGCCAGTGGCTGGAGGGAGGGGGAAATGAGTAGCTTAATGTGTATAGAATTTTAGTTTTACTAGATGAAAAGGGGATCGGTTGCACAGTATGAATATACTTGACACTACTAAACTGTATAGTTAGAAATGGTTAATATAGTCCTGGCTGGTGTGGCTCAATGGATTGAGCACCGGCCCACAAATCAAAGGGTCACCAGTTCAATTTCCAGTCGGGGCACATGCCTGGGTTGCTGGCCGAGTCCCCAGTAGGGGGTGCATAAGAGGCAAACACACATTGGTGTTTCTCTCCCTCTCTTCCCCCCTCTTTAAAAATAAGTAAATAAAATCTTTTAAAAAAGAAATGGTTCATATAGTAAAATTATGTTGTGCATTTCAGCACAATTAAAGAAGGACAGAAATTCTAATACATCACTACAACATAAACACATCTTGAAGATGCTAAGTGAAATAAGCTACACATATACACAAAAAACAAATGTTGTATAATTCCACTAATACACGGTACTCAGAGTAGTTCATATAAACAGAAAGCAGATTGGTGGTGTTTGGGAGACAGGGAAAGTAAGAAATGAGGAGTGGTTTCTTAATGGTTACAGAATTTCAGTTTGGGAAGATGAAAAGGTTGTGGAGATGGATGACAGTGATGATTGTATATTAGGTAACTGTGAATGCACTATTAAAAACGGTTAAAATGGTAAATTTTATTTTATGTATATTTTACTTTATGTACAATAAAAAACCTTTGGTATAAAGTTTAAATTCTATGATGCAATTTTACATATCTCCTTATGATTTCCTGTACATATTTCTCCTGCCAGATCTCTTACCACTCCATCTACTTTCTTTAAATTTGTCAAATATGCAATGTTTTCTCACCTTTGGGTTTTCACATGGTTGTTCTGACTGATATCCTCTTTCCCCTTTTGTTTGCTTAGTTACTATTTTTTAAGGATTTTATTTAGTTGTTTTTAGAGAGAGGGGAAGGGAGGAAGAAAGAGAGGGAGAGAAGCATCTATGTGAGAGAGAAACATTGGTCAGTCACTTCTTGTACCTGCCCCTGACCGGGAACTGAACCCACAACCTAGGCATGTGGTCTGACTGGAAATTAAACTGGTGACCTTACCTTTGTGGGACAGTGCCCAATTAACTTAGCCACATCAGTCAGGGCTGCCTAGTTACTATTCATCATTCTTCAGCTTTATAGTGAACGTATTAGTTTATAATCTGTCCCATTTCTCTTTGTTTTAGAAATTGTCCCTCACTGATTCAACATGACACTGGTGAGGCTGTGAAGCAAGGAGCCTCATCTTTCTCTCTTTTATGGTGAGCATACACTCTTAGATTGTCCAGTAGGAGCACCTACTCTGGTGGATAGTGATCCATCTATAAACTGATATATTATCCAAATAGAGTCAAATAAAGTAATTTTGAGCTATTTATGTGTGGAGTTGGGAAAGAGACCACCTCTTCTTCCGAATATGTGAGCTTAATGTAATGTAATCCTGAAGGTGCTAGGATGCCATCTTTCTCAATATGAAAACAAAGTAAGAAAAGAAAGCTGACCTGGGAGATAAGGAGAAATGTCTGAGGGCAACTTGAGCACATGGATCCAGCCATACATTATAATTTGTTTAATGATATGCCCTCCCTGATAGACTAAGTTGTACTGATTGCCATCTTACCATGATAGGCCCAGTACTTGCTATAGCATGTCTTATTATAGTATTTAATGAATAAGTTTTGAAAGACTGAATTGTTTTTATCTATGGGTTCATGCCAATTCCACAATAATATAAATATTTATCAAAGTGTCCCTCTAATATTTTTGAGACTTGATGTCTCATTTAAATTTATGGTACAAGGAGGGAGATCTAATTTTTCCCACATGATCAGCCAGATGTTCTTAACACAGTTTAATGAATGATTCAGCCTTTCTCCACTACTTTGAAATGCTGTCTTTAAATTCTTAGATAAGCCTGTGTTTATTTCTGGATTTTATATCCTGTTACACTGACTTACGTACACATTGCTATGTAATATATAGTTTAAATTATTGTACTTCTACTACATTATTTAATGTAAAGTTCTCCCCAAAATTAACTTCAATTTTTCATCAAATTTCTGAAAAATTTTGAACTATATGAAAAATTAAAAGTTCCTGACTGAGGTTTTCCAATTCTCATAATTTCCACCATGATTTTTATTACTGCTTTTAGTTAAGATTTCCTATTTGTATATTTTAGAAATGAAGTAGAAAATAACAAATAATAAGCATACCAACCAACTTGACCAGGAAAACACTTAAGATGTTGAATAATGGATATCAAAGATCCCATATATAAATACCATAGAAAAATTGACTGTAAAGTGAAAAGAATATTCTGGAAACTTAATTCTCTTTCAAATTTTACCCCGTATCCTTCCACATACACTTTCAATACTTTAATACTACCAAGTATGAGTGAATGGCCATTTGTAGGAAGAAGATCATGTTTTGACACCAATTTCAGTAATATTTTATATTGGGAGTTATTATAAAACATTTACTGAAAAGTCACAATTTACTAGATAGTAGTCATACAAAAATTAACACAGCAATGAGAGACAAAATTTATTGTGACTATAATGGACTTATAGAAATTCAAAGTTAAATAGTAAGGTCTGGGTGTCACCAAATAGAGCACTGATAGGCTGCTGCAGGGACATCTCACAGGCATTATTTGCTTTGGTGAGTTCACCATGATCCAGGCCATCGTCTTCAATCTTAGAGGTCTACAGCCTGATCTTGGTCATGTCCCAGAATTCATCCAAATCAGGAGATGGTACTACACTGATTATATCATAATACTGAAAGATATAAAGTGAGAAGGGAAATTTATTTATTTTACCATATATTGAGAAATGCAATTATCATACATATCAGATATATCTGTTATGAGGATAACATCCCACTTTCTCTTCTAAGCAGATTACAATGGAAGCAAAATTACTAGAGCATTTCTTCTTAAACATAATCAAAGTCACAGGATGCTGATAACTGGCTTTGTGACTTATACCTGATGTAGTTGCCTACACAGTGAAGTTATATCTGTAATGTAGACCAGATATTTCCATCACCCTAGGCATTCTTCACTGAGAAGAGTGCTGGGATATCTACATCTGCGTGTCTTGATATTTTTAAGCTTCCATAATTAGTCTCTAGTCTCATTCTTCCCCCATTATCCCTGAACACATTCTCATATTATTTAGAACATCTACATGGTTTATACACACAAATAATACATCACTATAATTTAACTGCATATAATCAAACAGCATAGACAAAATTACTCTTTACACCAATTTTGTCTTTCTTCAGCCAGCCTATCTTCATGAAGAAAACTCAAGTATCAGTTCTTTTTAGACCTTTATCTATTTATTTATATCTCAACAGAGAAAGTACTTAAGTAATACAATTTTAGATGAGAGGTTTTGAATAAATTATATAATATACACAATTCTGCAATTTATTTTCAACCACTTAATGTTTTAATAATTTTTCTATATCAAAATAGATCTATACCAATATTTCAACTGCTTCAAAATATTACATTGTATAACAGAATAATTTTTTTCTCAAAAGTTCTGTTTTATTCATCTTTAGGCTTTCAAACCCAACAAATGCTTTCATATCATAGCAGGGGTCCAATTAATAGTTGGTTAATTTAATAATTACTTTTCTGAACACCTGCTATATGCAGAATATTATTCTTGTCATTCAAGATAAAAAGAAACATAAACAATGCTTCTGACTTCAGAAAGCTTACAATCTGCTTGGAAATGCAAGGTAAAGAAAATAATATTAAAAATGACAAAACAATACAAAATATTTATATAATACCACATATCAAAGGACATTCTAAGTGATAGTTTATTTAGTTGTTCCTTTGTTAAAAAGTACATAGTACCCTTGCAATGTTTTTATTATATACAATGAAGCATATGTCTTCATATGTGGGAGTATCTCCACAGGTTCCATAAATGAATGCTCCATATTCATAAATGGAATAAATGAAATATGCATCAAAGAGCACACACTTTACAAATGTCTAGAAAATACAATCTTCGAAAACTGAATCAAGAGGAAGCAGAAAGCCTGAACAGACAGATAACAGCTAGTGAAATTGAAGCAGTAATCAGAAAACTCCCAGCACACTAAAACCTTGGACCAAACGGTTTCACAGGAGAATTTTACAAAACATTTGAAGAAGAGCTTATACCTATCTTTCTCAGACTACTCCAAAATTTCCATGAAGAGAGAAGCCTCCCAAACTTGTTTGTGAGACCAGAATCATTCTAATCCCAAAACCAGATAAAGATGCAACAAAGATGGAAAACTACAGGCCAATATTGCTGTTGAACATAGACACAAAAGTCCTTAACAAAATATTGGTGACTTGCATCCAGCAATATATTAAAAAGATCATACACCATGATCAAGTGGGATTCATTCCAGGGATGCAAGGATGGTACAAGATTCACAAATCAAGAAACATAATACACCACATAAGCAAAAGGAAAGACAAAAATCACATGATCATATCATTAGATGCATTAAAAGCACTTGATAAGGTACAGCACCCATTTATGATAAAACCACTCAGCAAAGTGGAAGTAGAGGGAGCATACATCAACATAATAAAGGCAATATATGAAAAACTTATAGCCAACATCATATTCAATGGGCAAAAACTAAAAGATTTCCCACTAAGATCAGGAACAAGACAAGAATGTCTGCTTTCACCACTTCTATTCAACATAGTATTGGGACTCCTAGCCACAGCAATCAGACAAGAAAAAGAAATAAAATGCATCAAAATTGGAAAGGAGGCAGCAAAACTGTCATTGCTTGCAGATGACATGATAGTGTACATAGTAAACCCTATAGATTCCACCAAAAACCAATTCAACCTAATAAGTGAATTTAGCAAAACAAGGGGATACGAAGTCAATATTCAGAAATCGAAGGCATCCTTGTACAGAAACAGCAAAATATCAGAAACAGAAATCAGGAAAAAAATCCTATTTGCTATAGCAACAAGAAAAATAAAGTACCTAGGAATAAACCTAGCCGGGGAGGTAAAAGACCTGTAGTCAGAAAACTGTACAACTCTGAAGAAAGAAATTAAGGAAGCCACAAACAATGTAAGCATATACCATGTTCATGGATTGGAAGAATCAACATGATCAAAATGTCCACACTACCCAAAGCAATCTATAGATTCAACACAATCCCTATTAAAATAACAATGACATATTGCACAGATATACAACAAGCATTTCAAAAATTTATGTGGAACCCTAAACAACCCCAAATAGCTACAGCAATTTTGAAAAGAACAAAGTAGGAGGGATCACCATACCTGACAACAAACTATATCACAATGCCACTGTAATCAAAACAGTCTGGTACTGGCATAAGAACAGACACATAGATCAATGGTACAGAATAGAGAGCACAGAAATAAACCCAAGTATGGTCAATTAATATTCGACAGGGGGGAAGAAGCATAAAATGAAGTAAAAATAGTCTCTTCAGCAAAAGAAAAAAAAAGAATCTCGATCACCAACTTATACCATACACAAAAATAAACTCAAGATGGATTAAAGACTTAAATATAGTCATGATACCATAAAAGTCCTAGAAGAGAACATTGGCAGGAAAATCTCAGCTATTCCATACAGCAATATTTTCACCGATATGTCCCCTAGAGCAAGGAACATAAAGGAAAGAATAAACAAATGGGGCTTTATCAAAATAAAAAGCTTCTGCATAGCTAAAGAAAACATCAGCAAAATGAAAAAGGGCCCAACTATATGGGAAAATATATTTGCCAATGATATCTCAGACAAGGGTTTGATTTCCAAAACATATAAATAACTCACATGACTCCACTCCAGGAAGACAAACAACCCAATTAAAAAATAGGCGAAGGCCCCGGCTGGTATGGCTTAATGGATTGAGAACCGGCCTGCAAACCAAAGGGTTGCTAGTTTGATTCCCAGTCAGGGAACGTGCCTGGGTTGCGGGACAAATTCCCTGGGCAGGGCATGTCAGAGGTAACCATACACTGATGTTTCTCTCCCTCTCTTTCTCCCTCCCCTTCCCTCTGTCTAAAAATAAATAAATAAAATATTTAAAAACTGATGTTTAAAAATGGGCAAAGGACCTGAACAGATACTTAGCCAAGAAGGACATATAGAGGGCCCTGAAACACATGAAAGGATTCTCAGCATCAATAGCCATCAGAGAGATGCAAATTAAAACCACAATGGGATACCACTTCACAAAGGTCAGAATGGACATCATAAACAAATCAACAAACAACAAATGCTGGTGAGGTTGTGGAGAAAATGGAACCCTAGTACACTGTTCGTGGGAATGCAGACAGGTACAGACACTGTAAAACAGTATGGAATTTCCTCAAAAAACTAAAAATGGAATTGCCTTTTCACCTAGAAATTCCATTACAGGGATTATACCCTAAGGATCCTGAAACACCAATTCAAAAGAACCTATGCACCCCAATGTTCATAGCAGCACAATTTGCAATAGCCAGGTGCTGGAAGCAACCCAGGTGCCCATAAGTCAATGAGTGGATCCAAAAACTATGATACATTTACACAATGCAGCAGAAAGAAAGAAGGAGCTCCTACCCTTTGCAACAGCATGGGTGGAACTGGAGAGCATTATGCTAAGTGAAGTAAGCCAGGTGGTGAAAGGTAAATACCATATGGTGTCACCTACAAGTAGAACCATAATCAACAAAAGAAAAAACAAGCAAAATATAATCAGAGATAGTGAAATTAAGAACAAACTGATAGTAACTAGAGGGGAGGTAGGAGTGGGTAATGGGGGAAAGTAGGGGAAGGATCGTCAGGGAACATGTATAAAGGACCCATGGATAAATCCAAAGGGGGTAAGGATGAGGGTGGGAGGTGTGGGGGAAAGTGGTGGTAAGAAAATGGAGACAACTGTACTTGAACAACAATAATAAAAAAGAATTAGAGTAGAGCAAAAGGTTGAAGATATAGTAATCATATTTTTTAAAAAAATGGAGCAAGATCCCTGAGAAGATAGTAAGGAATAGAATACACAGCATGTGTGGAAGAACTGACCTTTGACAGAAAGGGATATTTGCTCTGCTTTAGCAGAAAGAGAGAAGAAAATGCAGGCAGATGTAGGTTGATTTGTAAATATCTTGCTGAAAGATGAGGAAATTCCTATTTAAGGTCTTTGCTTCCTGCATGAAGCATAAAGCATTAGATGAACATAGAGGGAGGGAGAATTGGCAGTCTAAGTTTTGGTAGAAGGAGAAGGTATGAAACTCTCATGATAGACCAATGTGGTGTTGTTAGCAGAAAGTGTTCAGCCACTATTTGAAGTGAGTAATCATGAATTTAGGGTATTTCCACCCTTCCAGGAAGGTTAAATTGTTCAGGGGTTGGCAAAGGTAGATGGTTTAGGTCAATCCAGACCTGGGATTGCAATAGCCACGTGAAAGAGAAGGTGAGGAGAAAAGATAATTTTTTCCAAGAGAAAGATTTTGATAATAGACCAATGGAATCAATGCTAAACATGGGGGAAGGTAAAGACAGAAGGAGACTGATAGTTTTTAAACTGCAAAACGTCTGTGGAAGTCTCAGTGACATTGAAAAACTATTGTTTTCTAATCATCAGAGAAATGCAAATTAAAACTACAATGAGATATCACCTCACACCTGTTAGAATGGCTATCATCAATAAATCAACAAACGTGCTGACGAGGATGTGGAGAAAGGGGAACGCATTTGCACTGTTGGTGGGA